TTTAGAAAAGGTGGGGAAAAGTAAAATCTAGAAACTGTTTATAGACACTGAATTTGAAAGAAAGAGGGAACTGGGAAAGCTGCATGTACATCTCCAAGTGATCAGCTCCTCCAGAATTATTTTGCTTAATATCCAAGCCTCTCATTCAAAAAGCAATATAACAGATATTAGTTCTCTTTTTAGTCAACTGAAAAAAAAATCACATTTTAATTCTAATTATCATTGATCCTTATGTAATAGGATCTTTTATAATCGCTAAGCATACAGCTATGCCATCCTTGATATCTATTCTCTCTAAAAGTGAGGGGAGACCATTCCTAATTAGTAAAGAGAACTAATAATGTTGCAAAGAAAAAAAAATGCTCCTGGCTGCGCAGAAGCCCAAACTCGCCCATTTTCAGTCAGGACAAACAGATGCAGCATTTTGAGCACAAATATTTGCTACAAAAATACTCTAACGTTTCAGTCCATTAACCAACCCGCTGTGGCAGCTGGTGAACAGTCATCTTTTTAATTAGACACCCTTACTGATTAATTAGTCTCAGAACACTGAGCAGTGGAACCCTGCACAATGCCACTGGGACAAAAAAAAAAAATATTCCTTTTCCTCGTGTAAACTTACCATCCTTTAGTATTGCTGCAAGTAACAGGCTTGATTCATTCCCTACTCAAATGAAAACAGCCTTCCTATGTAAGAAATCCTCTCAATCCACAGCTAAACTGTTTCAACTCAAATGCCTCACACAGATAAAATCAATCAAACAAACACACAAAACCACACAAACATGGCATCAAGGCATCAGTTTCAAAGTCAACCGCATTTAATCTTCTCTGTATAAAAACAGTGGCTCATTTGTAGTCTCCTCTACTCTCCATTTCCTAACTATGCAAGCAAAAGGCAATAAAATTAGAAAGCCAAGTCAATATGAAGTATGAAACAACAAAGCAAATACCTTTTCTCATTTTAATGGTTTGGATAATTTCAAAGTTTAAAAAGTGAATACATTTCTGCATTAGGTTTACATGAAAGCTGATCTTTACTTCAGACCTCTGAGCTCAGTTTGCAGAGGGATGTATCAAGAAACAGATAAAAGAGTTAATTCAATGCATGGAAGATTGTGCTTAAGCACATGATGAAACTTCAACAACAGTATCTGCTATTTTCAGCTATCCCATCTCTTAATTTTTAATTTTGGACAAGAAACAATTCCAGAAACCTGAAATCTTAACTTCTGGGTTTTTTTTTTCTTTTTGGTTTATAATGGGAGTACTTGTCTTACAGGAGTCAGAAACAATAATGCTGGTCCAAACTGAGAAGATAAACTACATCTATTAGCTCTAGATCGATTTAATTTCATCCAGCTCCAAACCCAACCCACTTGCTCCATCTTCTGCAGCAATGGAACATCCTTTCCTATAACTGGTCCCTACTGGATGAGAATCAGACCCCTGCAGTAGTAATACCCCTCATTAGAGCCATTTTCAAATTGCTAAATTACTGAGATCAATTATTTTCATGATATGGCAATATTTAATCCCCAAATCAATGACTCTCATATTTGCTTCAGACCTTGGAAGAATTCTTAGGATTTTTCACTCTTCTGTGGAGTGGCTTGAAATGTTATTGGCCCAGACACAAAATACCATTATACAGTCAGCAGACAAAGCTATTTTTTGGCCAACTCTTGTGAAGCCTGACCCTTTAATTAGTTATTATCTCTAACTGTTCCGGGCACATGCTCATATTGCCAAAGGAAATTATGGCAGCATACAAATAATCTTATTTTTGGTTCTCTTACAAGTCATTTGTAAGGACAGCCATTGAGTCTCTTGAAGACCTTCGACTCAATGTCACCACTCAGCTCAAAAATGGGCATTCACATCCCTGTCCAGACTTCCACTGCTTTTAAGCACAATACTTTAAGTACAATACTACCAACATCTACTTTACCTGACAGCAGGATTAGTTTCTGATGTAACTTTAGAAAATAAGAATAAATTTAAAACAAGTTTTGTTTTCTTAAACCAGAGCAACATTATTTAAAACTAATCTATATATATTGTTAGATGAACTTTATACACACCGTTCAGTCCTTCATGGAAATCAGGTTACGAACTGAAAACCTTCCATGAAGAGATGATACGTTTTAGAACCCTGCCAGTATTACCCCGGGGTTACCATAAGCAGATTTTCCTCACTCAGCTTTTCTTTTCCTTTAAATAAACAAATAAAGCACACATTTCTCTCTCCTGCTGTGTACTTTGTTTTCCCCTTCCATCCTGTGCCACGTGCAGCGGGGTGACGAGCCCATGGCACACATGCCAGGGAGGGAACTCAGGCACATTTTGATTGTCACACAGAACAGATTTACATATATGTCACAAACAAGGCAGCTGCCAAATCAGAACTCCTACTCTCTCAAATTGCATGCAGGGCCTACTACTGTGTTCCAGTCGAAATTCCTGAGTGGTTCCCGGTAACCATCAAGCTGGAATTCAGCAGGAGACCTGAGACAGTGCAAGGATAGTGTTCGTCTGCACAACAGTGTTTGTGAGAGCAGAAGTACTTCTTTCTCCCTTCCCTCTCGGACCTCCAAACTTACCACAGGTGGGAAATACACCCGAGATGTCTGTGAATGCTGTGATATGGAAAAGGAAACACAGCCCACTGGATCATTCCTGACAGAGCATGGACCTCCAGTGAGCAGGACTAGAGGATGCGGAGGCCCTCTGGAGAAAATAAGTGCAGCATTGATTTTCCTAAATGAGACATTTTATTTTGCTTTCTATGCTTAACTAGAACTCTAAAACAGGCCCCAAATTACTTTCTCCTACAGAACACACCGAACAAAGCACTCCTCTGGCTGAAAACCACTGCAGCAGATTCCAGATCCCTGCATAGGGATGGGTATGAATGGTACAAACACACAGCCAGATGTGTCAGGTGGTGGGAATTACAGCTGCCCAATCCAACACAGCACTGCTGCACACAGCTGGATACAACAGCAGATGTGTCTGTATTGTGGTCTCTCAACTAAATTCAAATGCTGAGAGTCTGCTGTCACTCTCTGCATCACAATGCACATGCTTCTGGCCTGCTAACAACACAACCCTCAGCAGCAAGCACGGTTTCACCAGGAGTTAATCAGCAACACTGTAGCAAAGCCACAGTTTTTACCACATTTCCCTCCAAAGTTTAACGTGCATGTTATTATCAGCACACATAAGGTAACACTACAACAAAGCTTTCAATAGTATATACCACTCTTTAGTATATACTACTAAAATATACGTACTACTGCTCTGTCTGCTTAATTCACATTATCAATACACCAACATGAAACTGAGGAGTTCTGTTCACAGCCATAAATATCAGGTAATAATTCATTATAAAAAATTAGCTGACCACTCTTTTCTGGAGCACCCCATATTAATTCTTCCCAAAGATGGGCCCTAACTTTGCTTTTGCACAGGCTCTCTCCTCTTCCTTCCTTTCCACGAATCCTCTCCTGCCAAAGGATAGGATCACCAGCAGTTTAGACACTCAGACTATAGAAGAAATTTGGTGATTTCAGGAGAAAAACAACTTCGAAAAAAAAAACTTGCTTGCATAAATGCTTCAGTTCAGAACAGGATTTAAATTTCCAATCTCTAACAGAATCATATTTCATATTAAATACTGTACGAAATACCTTCCAAAATACATGTCACTGCAAGATTTCTGTAGTGAAAAAGCCAACTGTAACAAGGTATTTTGAAGGCATGAGGCCCCAGCATCAAGATAAACCTCGCATTTTAGAAGTTTTCCACTCCCTCCTCCGCCATAAAACAAACATCTTCCCCACTTTTGGAAAGCAGGAGCAAAATAATGGAGGTGGCTTTGATGCAACGTACAGCTGACAGATGTCCTGTGAATGGTTTCTAAGGAAAATATAACCCAGCTACAATGTCAAAATGAAAAATTTACACTACTAAAACATCCTTCCTTGTTGGGAAAAGGAAAAGAAGCCAGCAGGAGGACAACTCTCACTCTGGGGACGCTTCTAAACTTCCCAGAGTGGGTGGGTCAAATTAAAAGGATAAGTAGCAAAAAGCTACAACATTATGAGAGGAAAGTTTTACTAACAACATCTACCCTGGAATTTCTGCACGGACAGATGATTCATAACCTAGATAATGAATCTCTGAGCAACATTAAAATGATCCCCAGCCTTTCTGCCACTCCAAGCACTTTTGAGAGTGATGCTCTTCTCAAGAGCCACATCTGCTCTGCAGTGGCAGAGCTTCAGAACCCCCAGTGCCGAGTTCACCTCCTGCCACTGCTCAGAGCTCATGAACAGTGGTTCTCCCTCCTGCCATCCCAGCTCTGAGCAGACCAAACAGCTCTGCAGACAACTTTTTACAGTGTTTACTCACTGCACTGATGACATTAGGACACAGAACAGCAATAGACTCCCAAAAGGATTCTCCTCTCAAATCACCCATACAGCAAGGGGACTGGTTTCCTGCTAGGTAAACATGTTTTTTAACATTCTTTTCTAAAATAAACAACAAACCAAGAAATACCTAACTTTGTGACATTTTGTTTGGCTTTCTTTGTGTTCTTTTTTTATTTAAAACCCATACATTAAAGGCATACAGAGAACAAACTGTTGAAAAACCAAAGTGATGGATGTGAGCCTATAAAAAAGCCACAAGCAAACACCTGAACAACAAGCTGATGTTCTTATTATCATCACAGCAAGAGAACAGAAAGCTAAATGTCAAGCATTACTACAGATATAGGTCAGCAATTTCTATTGTTAATGCCATTCAGCAGGTACCCTCCAGGAGGTAAAGTCACCTCATCACAATTTCAGTTGCTCAAAACAAGTCCAACTGTTTCGCTCTCCTGCTGCTCCACCACTGAATAAAAACTGCTGCCCAGCAGAATTCAGCTGAACCAAAGGAAAGAAAAAAGAACAAAAGAAGGAAAAAATCCCAAGTAATAAACCCCTTACCATTGTGATGAGCAATCTGTATTTGTCCAGCATTGCCTGGTTGTCATGGCATCCTGCCAGCAGCTGCCAGATCTCTGCCCTCAGTGCCTCTGGAACCCCACTCTTCACCAGGGTGGACAATCCGTTGGGTCTCACGACAAGGTTATTGTGCCTGAAACACAGAGGACCGTTTGCCTGTTAAACTTCAACCGCAGGAGTCGAAACGAGGATTAAAAACATTAACAGGTTTTAAACTTGCCAGCGTTACTCTGAAAAGCAGAGTCAGCAACTGGCAACACAAACCTTCCTGCCAGTGGTCACACTAATTAGTATTTGTCAGATGGAAAGCAAAAATTCTGCAAGGATTGACGGTAAGAACCAGTGGCAAAATGTAGTGATATTCAAATTCTTTAGGTGAAAATTAACAATAGGCAACTGCAGAAATTGAACTGGTTAACAAAGAACAATATGAGTTGAAAGAGAAAACTGTGCCATCTGTGCAGACAATTCAATTCAAATATTTGTTCAACATATACGTTTTAGCTTAGGTTAAGAAAAAGAAATTAAAAATAACAAACGATACAGAGAAATAAATTTTGGAAAACAAATAGAAGCCAATTTTAAGAGTACTACCATGAAGTTCCAGTTCCACAATTCATGCCTAGAGTATATTTCAAGTCCCACAAAGCAGTAATACTTGCATTTGGTAAACCTTAGTATTCCAAATAAATTTGCCTGTTGGTCTGAGCTGGTCCTTCACTATTTGGTTGCACACACCCAAGAAATGTAGGAATACAAAACTCACTGCACACGCACAATATTGTAGAGCTTTCAGTCACAGATGTTTCAAACCCATTTTTGAGATAAGAGTGTTTGCTGATCTGGGTTGAAGCTCCCTTGGACTCGGGATGGCAATTTCCAGAGCAGTGCAGCAGGAAAACTGCCCCAGTTGATTCCTTGCTCTTTCTGCTGTACAAAGTGCTTTGCTCTCTCAGTGTTTTGACCATTGTTGTGTTTTCCAACTCTCCTGGTAGGAGAATAGTGAGAGTGGCTGTTCAGCCAAAGGCCAGCAAGCTGTGATTAATTAAATAACCTGCAATTTGACCATGGATTTTCAGTAAATGTTTAGAGTACTCGTTCTATGAAACAGCTCATTAAGACCTTAACAGTTTACCACTGCTGTTTAAATTTCAAAGGTGTTCTAAACAAATTTCTTTTTCCTACACTTTGACAATGATATCACCATTTTTCCAAATAACCTGAGAATTAAAAAGTCTGATTATGTAACATCCTTATTCTTCTAAACACAATAATTATTTTTAAATGCACAGTGCAACACAAGTAATTTTAAACTTTTTATCACTCAGCCAAATTAAAATCCATGTAGTGTCTTTTCTCTTTTTCAGCCCATTTTGCAGACAGTCACACGAGCCTAATGGTCTTGTGATGAGAAAAAGGTAAGAAAGAAAAAGCATTATTCACAAAAACATTAAAAGGACTAAGAACTTGGCATAAAGGACTTGAGTGGGTCCAGAGAAGGTCAAGAAAATGCTCTGAATCTGGAGCTCCTCTGCTGTGGAGACAGGCTGGGAGAGCTGGGGGAGTTCAGCCTGGAGAAGAGAAGGCTCCAGGGAGACCTCAGTGTGGCCTTTCAGTACCTTAACGGGGGTCATAAAAAGGAGGGGAGAAACTTTGTATGGGCAGATAGTGACAGGACACGGGGGAACGGCTTTAAACTGCCAGAGGGCAGGGTTAGATGGATATTAAAAAGAAATTCCTCTCTGTGAGGGTGGGGAGGCCCTGGTACAGGTTGCCCAGAGAAGCTGTGGGTGCCTCTGGATCCCTGCAAGTGTCCAAGGCCAGGTTGGACGGGGCTTGGAGCAACCTGGGCTAGTGGAAGGTGTCCCTGCCCATGGCAGGAGGGAATGAGATGAGTTTTAAGGTGCCTTCTAACCCAAATCATTCTGTGATTCTATGACTAGACACACTAAGCAGTTACAGAATTATGAAATGCACATTGAGATACAAATAAATAACAAACACATCGGAAAGTTAAAGCTCAAGTTGTGGATTAGTTTGTTTATTACATGGATCTGGTCCTATGCTATGTGAGAAACACCAAAGAGCTCCTCTGAGGAGTGGGCAAGCTGATAAAATAAAATGAACAGCTAAAAAGGGACATTCCCACAGAAACAAAACAGGGACATTTTCAGCAGCACCAAGGAAACAATACAAATGGCTTATGGTAACAACTAAGAAAGATGCACATTCTGTGCTGGAACACCATCCTATACATATTCCCAGCTGAGAATTAAACAACCAGACTTTCCCGGCCCTGTCCTATATTTAGGCAGTCCTGTGGCAGAGGTAATACTTTAGCAACATGAGTCCCTGCCACACAGCACAACTCTTAACTTCCACAGCCAACTTCCTGGCTTCTGAACGGCTCATTGGGAAACAGCCTGAGCATCCCCAATCCTTGCTCAGAACAACAGAAATGGGCATAAAATAAAAGCTTGCCTTATTCTGGCCTTATCCTTTAGCATGTGGGAAAAATGGGTCATTCATGGGTGTAACATCTTTAATTTCCTACAAAGTGCTGCAGTTCTCTTGCACAGAACTCAAAGACACAATAAAATAAATAGATATACCATTACTTTCCAACTGTTAATTCTATTTTTTTGTAAATTATCTTATTTTTATTCCTGTTTATATGCTTGAAGGAGACTCTTGGAGCAATGTTTCTTCTGAGTCCAATAGGTTACAGTGACATTTTAAGAAAATGACAAGAAGCAATTAAAATGCAATAAATTTTTCACCTAAGAGACAAATAAAACAGTTCCCCAAGTGCAAATGTTAACTTTTGTTTATTTACCTTTTTTACAAGTGCACAGATCTTCCACTAACATATGCTGCAGTTTTCAACACACTAGATTTGATTTCAATCTATTTTTAGTTTTCAAATAGTTAACATTTTTCATCTGTTACTCTTTCTTAGTTTTGTTCTTAAAATGTAACATCAAGTTGTTTAAGAATTCAAGTAGTTTAAAGACTTGAATTTCTCTCAGGAGATAATATTACTTGAGACACTACTAAAGATAAGTTTGCTACTGCTGGTCTTCAAGCTGGCTGGGATGTCCCACTTCTCACCCCTTTCTTAAGCAATTTTAACTAAGGTGTTTTAGCTACTAAATGTGTAAGTTATGTTAGGAGTTCAAAACAGTTTACTCCAAGTATTAAATGTTTTGTCTCACTCATCAGAATACTTGAGTAACCAGAGGGAATCATTGGTTACGTGAAACTTCAGAGAATGAGCTGGGGTGTTCCTTTACTTCAGCATGTTGAGCCACAGGAGCCCAGGGATTTCTCAAGGGCAAAAGTTAAACCAAAAACAATCATCTGACAAATGAGTTAAAAAAGGAATAAAACTAAAGGTAGCATCTTCCAGTGGAAATGCCATGGGGATGTCCCTTAGAAGAGGCTTTGCAAAGGTCTAAACAGCTTCAGCGCCCACCTCTGGATTTTTACAGATGATGTCTCATCCAGAAACTTTGCATGAGATCTCCATTACAGATGAAGTCAGCAGCAAGAAGCTGTGTTGCTCCAAAGCTACAAAGTGGTCAAATAAAGGGAGAATTTGCCCAAATAAATCCTTAAAGCACTTCTCAGCTCCCTGTTTGGAGTTAGGAAAAGGAAACTGCCAATTCCAGATTAAGGGCCTCTGATTATTTTTGTCTCCAGCAGCAGGAGCTATTACTTACAAAGGGAAAACCAAATAAGTGGTTCTGGCACTTGCTAATAGTCCAGGGTCTCTCAGAGGCAGCAAACACACAGACTTGTTCCTATTTTAGCACAGTGTCTGCTGCTACTGAAGCACTTAATTAAACCACAGAAATAACACTGTTGAGAACATACTCTGGGCTTACAGATAGTCTTCGTTTTACTCACCAACAGAAGCAGTTTCAGTGAGGATTCACAGGCTTTCTAGAATTCTTTTTCAAATGCTTACATATAGCATGTTAAAAAAAATAAAGAGAGATTGTTTCTAAACAAATTAAATGTACACAGCTGGCACAAATGGCTTAGACAGAACATACTGACTGCTCTGCCAGTCCTCTCCTGGCTCTGAGTTTCACGGGGGTTTAACTCCCAGCCCCAAGGACAGTGACCACAAAGTTGTGCCTGTGAAGTCCCACATCTGTGTGAGCACACACAGACACACTCAAACACCAAACTAAACCAGACTCTGGCAGATGCTGTGGGAGAGATTTGTCAAAGAACTGCAAGTTATTTAAACTAGGTTTAAAAAACACACCTCAATGTGTTTTGTATTTAAGTTTTTAAACTACGTAAGCTGAAGAATTTCACACCTCCCGCATACAGACTCATGAAACAAAGAAAAGGTTAATATTTAAAATCTAAATGTAAGGAATTAAGCATTACCATCTCCCCAGTAACTCTCCCCAGGAATACAAAATCTTCTCAGGACAATCCTTTGACACATCACCGGTGCCACTGGAGAGTTCATTATCACTCTCTGCAAAAACAAAAAAAGAAAAAACAAGAAAACAAAAGCATGCACACGTTCACCAAAAGCACAGACACTAAAGATCTATACACATAGGTCTCAGACAACTTTTTTTCTCATGTATCAGTTTTAAAACCACAAAAAGACATCAAAAATACTAGTGGAACCATAAAGAATATTTAGCAGACTTTACAAAACAAGTGTATTAATGAAGTTATCATAAAGTTTAAAAGAACAGGACTAGGGAATAATTTGTAGCACTGTTACAGAAGAAAGCTGGGACCTGAAAAAGCATTATGCAAGGAAAGATTCAAGGCTGTCACCTCTCCATTTAATGACATTTCACAATGTGGTGTTATCTGAAAGTCACATCCACCCACTTCAGACCTCCCACGAAGAGAAGTCTCTCTTAAAGCATAGCAGATAATGCTACTTGGTTACACCACATCCCTTTGGTTCTCCTGTGGTACCTGAGGTCATGAAGCCCCCTCAGAGCCCCAAAATCATTATTTTTACCTGAAATAAGTTCCTGGATGGGTAGAAAGAACAACAGTGTGACATTAAAGGTTGTAGTGCATGGAACAGACACGAATGCTTAAAATGAAACCTCATAATTATTAAGAATGAAACACTTAGGGAGGGAGATAGGTTATTACACGACTAAGCCCAGAAGGGATAATGTGAGCCTGGGACAGTGTGCTCAAATAACCACCCAGTCCCAGAACTTATCCCACTTCCCAGTGTCTTGTGGGTCTGTGCAGCTGCCCACAGTTGGCTGGAGAGTCTAACCCTACAAGGCAGCTCCTCACATGAACATGGGCTTGCCGTTACTTGGACTTTTTCCACTTTAATCTGAATAAGATACTGCTAAAAGTTACACAAGTGCAATTTCAACACCACCACACGCTGATAGGGTTCCAGCTCTCAGTGTCTTTAGTGGGAAAAACAATCCAAAAAGAGACAGCAGCAGCCTCACAAAATCCCAGACTGGTTTGGTTTGGAAGGGATCTTAAAGCTCACCCAGCACCACCTCCTGCCCTGGGCAGGGACACCTTCCACTAGCCCAGGTTGCTCCAAGCCCCGTCCAACCTGGTCTTGGACACTTCCAGGGCTGGGGGAGCCACAGTTCCCCTTAGAGGCTGCTGAAGCCATGGACAGTTTAGATGTCAGAGGGCTCCAAGGCTGCTCTTTCCTATGAGCTGACCTGTCTCAAGAAGCTAAAATAAAACAAAAAAAAAAAAAAAGAAAAACCACAGCTACATCTGCTCACCATATCCCTCAGATACTCTCCTCAACACAGCTCTGTCACATCTGGGTGCTGACCTAATATCTTGCATTCCTCAGGTACATTAAACACTTCACCCCCAGCTTTATGCAGGCAACAGCAATAGTTCAGGTAGAGGAGGATCTTCAGTCCTTGTGCAATTATCCTGTTAACTCTTCATCCTTGTCATTCTCACTTCAATGACACGTTTCTAATTTATGTTCTTAACAATTGTCAAATACAAGTCATTAATAAAATATCATCAGTGCTTGAATTTGACAGCAAGCTGTGAGGACAAAGCATACACTGCATTTCAAGGACAATTAACAGCAAAAATCCTGCCCTAAGAGAGAAGCACGGCAGAAATCCCTGTATTTTAAAACGAATATTACATTAGTGAAAGCTTTTGGCTTGGAACCTGCTTGTACAGCTTCACAGGACCCAAAGTACAAGACTAACCTCCATTTAACTACTTCCCCATTAGAATTAAATATAACCCCAACAAAATAACCAACCACCCACATCACAAATCTACAGAAAACTTGATTTTAACGTTTCCCAACCTTTTGCATGCAGTCACTAGACCTAAAGATGGAAATATGAAGATCTAAATTTATCATTTTAATAAAATTTGGTATCACTATAAAAGTGACCAAAGGAATCAACTGTGTTCCAGGGGAAGAAACATATTTAAAGACTCAACTTTCCTTTAATTTTAAAATTACAAAAAAATAGTGTAAAGGCCAATCTCTTCACTTACTACCCAGGTCTGACAATAATTAAAAACACCTTTAAGTTAAAACAACTAAGTGCATTATATTTTCTTAATTCCCTCCTCTCCTGATTTGCCTAATTGGATCAAAGAGACAAATGACAAATGCAGCCTTTCTACTGGACATGGAAGCCAGGGAAAAAAAAAAGTGATGAAATCTTCTCTGGATTGAACACATTTGCCATTCAGAGATACAAGGTACTGATACATGTAAAGAATCCCAAGAAACCTGGCTCGCATCCAGAATTTGTCATAAACCACAACTTCAGAAAAGTTTAACACGTTCAAGGTAAAGGGTAAACTATGTGGCACAAACTTCTGAAAGAAGAGATGGGAATTTCCTTGGAGAGACTGCAGAACTACAGCACACCTTAACAGGAGTTACTGGCGAAAATAACACAAACCAACCCTGTAGTCTGGAACAAAATCTGATAAAGATGACTGAAGTCCCCCAGCGGGTCAGAATGTTTCAAAATGAAGGTGCACTGCTCCTTTGAGGAGCAGAGCACACTAGTTGTTACTGGATCCAAACGTGAGCCTGCCAAGGAACACTGACATCAGACCAAAGCAACAAAGCCCCTGATTTCGCTCTGTGTTGGTATTTGGGGCAGAATTCTTCGAAGTTCTTAAGGAGATCAGTGTTACACAGCACACGCGCTCCGGTGCTTCAGCCAGAAAATACTTTCATCTGGAAGGTTTAGCAGTGTTTGCAATGTATTATTCAGTTATATGTCAGAAAATCACAGGCCTTAATTAGAAATGCCATATGCTCCCTCTCAAAAGACGCTAACGTCAAACTGAAAAATAGAACAGGGCGAAGGGGACAGAATAAACAGCTTCAAAAATCTCTACTTGGTTTCCACTCTAAGGACTATTTACATATTCTAACCTGTGAAAGCATTTAATATGAAATAAGGGAAAAAAAGATGTCATGGGAGGGATAATTAAGTGTAGATGTTCTTCTCTAAGCACTTTGATATTTTTTTTTTCCACATTTCATAGCATCTGTAAGCCAGCAGCATTAGCCAGAGCATGATTTAATCCACCCTCATATTGCTGGGAATGCCACAGATCCCTTCCTCTAAATGTCCTGGGTACTTCTCCCTTCCTCCTGTATTTGCCCTGACCTATCAGAGCCATCAGCTGGGCAAAAAATGTGGGCAATAAAACAGGCCTCACCACAGCAAGAGGAGGATGGAAGATGTCTCCAGGGAACAAACCTGGGAGTTGTAAATATGTGTACACACAAACTGCCTTTAAGAACACTCACAGGGAACAGCAAGCCTGGAAAGTTTTTGGTTTGCTTTGAATTGCAACGTGATTCACAGAATCCACAAAAACGTCACAGCTCATGAACCAATTCCCTGAATTCAGAGCCTCTTCAGAGCACTCCCACAGCAAGCATGGCTCTGCATGGCATCAGCATGGAATAACATCTTGGGCTGGAAAAGACCTCTGGAGATCAGACAGTCCGATCTCCTACTCCAAGCTCTGGTTGGATCAAGTCACTCCGAGCCCAGAGTGGGAGGTATCCTGGCTTTGCCTGGAGTGGAGTTCATTGCCCTCACAGTGGCTGCTCTGGGACTGTGGTTTAGGTTTGAGCTGGAAACGGTGTTGATAACACCAGGATGTTTCAGCTGCTGCTGAGCAGTTGCTCACACAGAGTCAGGGCCTTTGCTGCTCCTCATCCTGCCCTGAGGGCTGAGGGTGCACAGGAAGGTATGAGGGGACATAGTTGGGACAGCTGATCCCAACTGGCACAAGGGATGTTCCAGACCACATGGCATCATGCTGAAAATGCAAAGCAGAGGAAAAAGGAGGAAGGGAGGACCTTTGGAGTGATGGGGTTTGTCTTCCAAAGTCTCTATTAGACATGATGGAGCCCTGTTCTCCAGGAGATGGCTGAACACCTGCCTGCCCATGGGAAGTGGTGAGCGAACTCCTTGCTTTGCTTGCACACACAACTTTTGCTTTCCCTACTGAACTGTCTCAACCTCAGCCTATGAGTTTTGTCATTTTTACCCTTCTGACTCTCTCCTCCACCTCACCAAGGAAGGGAGAGTGAGCAGCTGTGTGGGGCTGAGCTGCCATCTGGGGTTAAACCACAACACCAAGGTAGTCTTGAATGCCTTCAAAGAGGTGGTAGAATCTTGACCATGCTGATAGTTTAAATACAAACCAACCAACGCACCAAAAGTGTCCTTTTATCTAACCAGAATTTCCCAGTTCTACCTTGTGTCTGATGCCTGTTGCCTCAGGCCTTATCAGACGCCTCTGAGAAGAGTCTGGCTCCATCTTCACTGAGTCCTCTGACATAGCAGCTGCAGAAAGGAGTAAGATTCTTCTCTGTGCATCTTCCTCTCTAGCCTGAACCAAACTCAGGTCTCTCAACCCCTCACTGTACACCACGTGCTCCTGAGCCCTGCCCTCTGGAGCACTGAGCACTCTCCTCGGTTTGCTGCTGTCCACAACTCTGCTGAGGGCTCACTCGATCCTGTCACCCAGGCGATAGACACTTAACAGCACCAACCTGGTTCCAACACCAATCCCTCTCAGATACCATTGCTTGCTGGCTGCCAGCCAGACTTTGCACCGTTAATTCATTCTTTCATCCCAGCAGTCCAGCCAACCTTTCAACCACATTATCTTCCACTTGTCCAGTCCCTATCTTGTTGCTGTAAGGATAAGGACACTATGGGACAACACTGGAGCCCTTGCTAAACCCAAGGTGTGCAGCACCCACTGCCTGCCCCTTGCCTGCAACACTGGCCACCTTGTGACAAGGATTTGTCCTTCATAAATCTATGCTGGCTGCTCCCAGTGACACTGTTGGACATTCAGGTGAAATGCTTTCAGGAGTATTTGCTCTATAACCAGTCCCATGGATTGAGGTCAGACTGAACCAGAACTTCCTTCTGGTCCTTTCTTCTTTTGGATACTTGCCAGTTGCATGACATGGATATGGAAGCCTGC